GACGTGGACCAGGTCCCTTTCCAACTGATTATTTCTCTCTAAGGCCATAGCAAGTTTAGTTTCAGCAGTGTTTAGACTAGCTTATAGCTCCATTTGCATACTACTAGTCTCTCATTTTCTTTTGCCAGATTTCTCCCTCAACGTCTTTAATTCATATTTGAGTTCTAGATTTTCAGCTTCTAGTACTGTCACATTTACTTTCGCAACAGACATTTGGTCAACCAAAGATACATTTTCTTCATGAAGAATATCTAGGCTATTGTTCATCAAATATTTTTTAGTTGTTGACAATGATAGAGTCAATCAAAACAGCAGCTAGAATTCTCAAATTCTTAACACAGTAAACATGCAAGTTTTGTTTAAGATCGGGAAGGGTTACCTCTTCTTCATCTTCCTCATCATCAGATTTTGCCATCAAAGCAAATGTGGCATCAAACACATCTTCATCACCTTTAACTGCTAGAATGGGTACATCTACATGACATTGTGATCCATCTGACTCACTTAAGGAGTCTCCCCATACATCAAAAGTTTTCTTCATGATGTAACCAACTGCAACTTTTCTTGATTACTTATCAGGGACCAAGTCCCTTTTTCTGCCTTTCACTCCTCGAGGTCTTTGATAAGTTTTGACTTCAACCTTATGCATGGGGAAATATCAGATGAAATTCCTTGGCTTTCCACACTTGTGTCATAGATTGTTTGCATTTATAGCTCTATTTGAGTTTTCTACCTTTTGTAAGCCTCTATGTTTCCTTTCTCATTTTTGATACCTAATCGTGAGGCATGCCATATCCTTATCTTCATCAAAAGTTTCACCAGATATCACCTTGATAGCTGGAGACTTCTGTTTCTTCAACTCTTTCTTTGATGCTTTTTCGATTTCTGTTGAGTGGAGCAACCATCTTTCCACAGGAATCTCTCTTAGTGTTAACTATATATAGCACCCGCTTTGATACCACTAGTTTGAATGGGTGCACCCACTAACAGTCAATGGACCAGGTCCCTTGACACAGTAAGTACAAAATGTAAGCAGAGACAGTGGTCAGCATCTACTATACGTCAACGGACCAGGTCCCTTGACTCAGCAAGAACAGTAGTTGAAACAATACAGAAAGTAAGTGGCTGTAACTAAAATTTGCATGATGATTTTACGTGGAAACCTCCTTGCTTAAGGGAGAGAAACCATGACCTATTGCACAGGAATTTCGACAGTCTTCACTAATCTTCTCAAACAAAAGTGAAACCTGATTACAACCAATGTGAAAAAAAGTTATTAATCTTACTATCAAGTAATCTACCTATTACTTGAGAACCTAAGTGGATACAACACTGCCCACTAAACAACCACCCTCTGGATGATTTAGAATTTGCTAAGCGGATACCACACCGCCCACTAAACCACCTAACTCTATATGACTTAGAATTTGACTAAGCAACAAAATAATATTGCCCACTAAATCAGTTAACCTTAACTGATTTAGACTTTTGCCAACGCAAAACAAATATCTGAATCCTGTATAGATTAGGAACAGATTGACAATGTAAGCACAGAAGTTATAATACTAAGACAATTATATAGCCTATAACTCTATCAGGTCTTTGTTGTTGTTAGGATGACACTTCTTGAAGCTAGCCTTTGCTTTTTGAGCTTTTGGATTTTCTGAAATCCAAAACTTTTTTTGCCAAAACTTTAGTTTGTGTTGTTGGAGAAGAAACTATATTTAAATGGACACAAACCCTTGGGATGAGGCTATTGGTTGAGAGACTGTTGTTATGAAAACTTGTGCACCAACCCCTTAGAGTTGACAACTTTTTGACAATTGTATTTTCATCCTTTTCTTGTGCGCAGTCTTTTAGGGACCAGGTCCCTTGCTGCATTCTTAGATACTTGAGCTATTGACAAAGACTTGATGCTCTCTCTCTTCTTAAATGATTGAACTTAATATGTTGTTTTTCATGTTGAAAGTATCAACCAGAAAGATTTACTAACCATTGGACAAACAACCTCCTCCATTCTAATTGGTTCAGTACGCTGGCGCCTCACCTACCACTGACAGGACAGCTTTACAGAAGTACACCATTATGTATTATATGTAGAGAACTCTGTCAGGGACCAGGTCCCAGCATTTGTGAGATACTGAAACATACAATCTCGTACGCTCTTCTTATTGATGTAAGAAACTGCATTTTTTACCTACCACCTAACATGTCAGCTTTTACGATTGTACCTTGTTTGTATCTGGATGAGAGCACTCTGACACGGACCAGGTCCCCGCATTTGTGAGAATCATCAAAACACATTGAATATAACAATAAGTTTGATCAATAGTTATAAAATTGGCACTCCCTCAGTTTGGTTTCTGATTTAACACGGAGTTTGAGAAAGTAAACAAAGACTTGAATATTGTGGTCTTAAGTTAAAGATATGTAGAATGTACCACTTAAACATGTAATGGAAAGTTAGAATTATAGAGGTGTCAGATATGGAAGAGACATTCTTTATGTAATGGATTGAAAAGGAAAGTAAGTAATAAATTAAAATTGATTACTCACTGTTCATTATTTTTGAATGAACGTATATAATAAATCGCATGAATAGTTGATCTTTTGCATAATTCGTATGAGGAACTGGTTCTGAGAAGGTTTGTATTTTCCAGGTTTTTCGAGTTCATGGTTTCCAAGATAGAATGTCGAGTACTCTCTAGGTTTAGCAATAGTATTTTCCTTGGTCTTAATGGAATAGCATATGTCTCTTTACAACATTTCTATTGTCCTTTTTTCCAACCTATAATTGCCTAAAAAGAATCACTTTCTGCTATACCTTGCGGCCACATCGGAAGAACAGTGTAGATCGTAAATCTCTTCTCTGCTTGAATCTTGCTCAGAATCTTGAGTGAGATCTACTTTGGGATAAGATGCAAAGCTTCGATGTCCTCGAGCTTGATATCATTTGCAGGCTTCCAACCATAGAAACTTCCAATAAAGTAATGGTTTTCAATGTAAGTGAAATTCTTTGCTCGACAAATGGCACTAATGTATTTATCTACTTTGATCAATTACCTTGTTTTTTCCAGATGATGAAGCTTGTATGGAAGAATGAAGAGTTGGTTATTCATGGTGAGGGGAGTCACCTTGGTAGACAGGTGTCGATCATTGAAGAGATTTCGCAAGGTACAGACTTTTACACAGTGGAGCTGGTGAATGCCACCGGTGAAGACTTGTCCCCACAGACTCTAATGCCTGCCATATACAAGATGATAGCCACTGTGATGCTGCAGAACGGTTTTGAGCCGGGGTTTGGATTGGGAAGAGATTCCCAAGGAATTAGTGGTCCTGTTCTGGTCGTTGTCTAGGGATCCAGATATGGTTTAGGGTACATCCCCAAAGATGATGACATAAAGGTGAAGAAAAAAATGATCAAGATTTTACTAAGCCGATCCCGAAATCTGTATCAATCCTTTCCGATCCGAGAGTATACCGAACGTGAAGACTTTAGGGAAAGAATATGTGACCTCTTCGAGAAGATCGATGTTGTTGTCGAGGAGGAGGTAGAGCTAGCTGGTATTCACGATGGTGAACCAGGGGAGGTGCTGCAGAACTGGACCTCCGCGCCGATCCTGATACCCCGAACCCTTCAGTAGAAAGGCGTCATTTTATGGACATTTAAATCGGTGGTAGTCCGGAAGAGGCCCGAGACCCACCATTTTGTATTTTCTTAATTGTTCAAATTTTTGAAGTTTCATTGTGATGTTCAAAAAAGGCAACATGGCCCCATGCCATGCCTAAAGTTTGCATTGTTTTTAAATGAAAGCCTTTTTGTTTTTAACTTTATTTATTTAATCATTTCTTATGCCTTGCACTTCTAATTTTGTCTATTTATGATTTCAGAAATATAAGTTACAGACCTGCCAATGTGATGTCATGTCACGAGCTAAATGAACAAAATGATGTAGGTGACGACGAGGCTGACGATAATTAAGAAGAAAGTGAGGAACCAGATTATGTCACCGAGGAATTTCGACAGTTTGAGAATCAGCATAAACCAAATCTAGAGGAAACAAAAACTGTGAATTCAGGAGATCCAGAATGTGTTAAAGAGGTTAAGATCAGCACCCACCTAAATGAAGCACAGAAAAAGGGCATAGTTCATTTGCTTGCTAAATATATTGATGTGTTCGTTTGGGAAGTCGGTGACATGCAAGGGTTGAGTACCAATGTAGTATCTCATAAGCTGCCAATTAACTGGGGCTTCGATCCGGTGAAACAAAAAGCTTAAAAATTCAAGCCTGCACTGAGTTTGAAGATTAAGGAAGAGATCACTAATAAAATAGAGTCCCGATTGGTAGAAGTGAAACAATATCCAAACTGGTTGGCAACCGTTGTTCCGGTCGCCAATAAGGATGGGAAAATCAGGATATTTGTTGACTATAGAGATCTCAATAATGCTAGCCCGAATAAAAATTTTCCGTTGCCGAATATTCATATTTTGATTGACAACTATGCCAAGCATGAGATGCAGTTATTTGTGAACTCTTACGCAGGATATCATCAGATTCTGATGGATGCGGAGGATGTAGACGACTTTCATTAAACCTTGGGGTGTAAATCACTACAAGGTGATGCCGTTCGGCCTCAAGAATGTCGGCGCCACCTACATGAGATTTATGACGACCATTTTTCATGACATGATTCATAAGGAGATTGAAGTGTACGTGGATGACGTCATAATCAAATCCCGCGAAAGTTCGAATCACTTGACACATCTAATGAAATTCTTTGAGTGTTTGCGTCATTACGACTTGAAGTTAAATCCGCTCAAATGTGCTTTTGGAGTTCCAGCCGGGAAGTTGTTGGGATTTATAGTCAGCAGAAGGGGTATTGAGCTCGACCCCTCTAAGATTAAACCAATTCAAGAGTTACCTCCAAGGACGAGAAAAGAGGTGATGAGTTTCTTAGGGAGGTTAAATTACATCAGTCGATTCATAGCTCAATCAACCATGGTATGTGAGCCTATTTTCAAGCTATTGAAGAAAGACGCCCCGAAAAAGTGGACCGAAGAGTGTCAGACTGCTTTTGATGCCATAAAAAACTATTTAGCCAATCCACCAGTATTGGTTCCTCTGCGAGAAAAGAGTCCTTTGTTGCTGTACTTGTCTGTCTCAGATAGTGCATTCAGATACGTACTTGGTCAACACAATGGGATAGGAAAGAAGGAAAGGGATATCTATTATATAAGCAAGAAGTTAACTCCATAAGAGTCTCGTTACACTTTGTTGGAGAGAACGTGTTGTGCTTTGACATGGCTTGCCCAGAAGTTGAGACATTATTTGTCTTCCTGTACTACATACCTCATTTCCAGAATGGATCTACTGATGTATATCTTCCAAAAGGTGATGCCGACTGGAAAGTTAGCTCAGTGGCAAATTCTGTTGAGTGAATTTGATATTGTGTATGTGACTCAGAAAGCAATAAAGGCACAGGCTTTGGCTGATCACCTTCCAGAAAATCCCGTTGATGAAGAGTAAGAACCACTTAAGACTTATTTTCACGATGAAGAAGCGTTATTTGTGGGTGAGGATATTTTTTAGGCATATCCAGGTTGGATGTTATTCTTTGACGGAGCGGCAAATCGTCAAGGTAAAGGTATTGGAGCAGTCTTAGTGTTAGAATCTGGTCAACACTATCCCATGGTGGCTAAGCTCGGATTTAATTGCACAAATAACATGGCTGAATACAAAGCTCGTATTCTACGTTTTTAAAATAGACATCGACACGAATGTCTATGAGTTGTTGGTTATTGGAGATTAAGACCTTCTGATTCATCAAGTTCAAGGAGAATAGGTTGTGAAGAACCCAAAGATTATACCTTACGTACAACATGTTCAGGGGTTGTGCAAAAGATTCCGTAAGATCGAGTTCAGACATACTCCCAGAATACAGATGATTTGGTTGATGCTCTTGCCACCATTGATTCGATTATTAAGCATCCAAATACATGTTACATTGATTCTCTGGATATAGAATTGAAAGAACATCCCGTCCATTGTTCCCATAATAAAGCAGAACTAGACGGTTTGCCTTGGTATTTTGATATAAAGAAGTATTTGGAGTCTGGCACTTATCCTGAAGATGCTACGGCCAACCAAAAGAAGTGATACGCTGTGTCTCTCTCAATTTCTTTCTAAGTGGAGAAGTCCTTTATAGGAGGACTCTAGATCTGGGTCTTCTAAGATGTGTTGATGTCGTTGAAGATGTGAAGCTTATTGAACAGATACATGTTAGAATTTGTGGCACGCATATGAATGGATTCACTTTGGCAAGAAAGATCCTACGAGCTGGATATATTTGGATGACTATGGAGAATGATTGTTGCAGGTTTGTGCAAAAATGTCATAAATGTCAGGTGCACGGTAATTTGATCCAAGTGCCACCTCACGAGCTTAATGCTATGAGTTCACCTTGGCCATTTGTAGCTTGGGGCATGGATGCCATCGGTCCAATAGAGCCAGCCTCTTCTAATCGACACAGATTCATTTTAGTTTCCATTGATTACTTCACCAAGTGGGTGGAAGCAGCTTCATACAAGTCGGTAACCAAGAATGTGGTGGCTGATTTTGTTCGCAACAATCTGAAATATAGATTCGGGGTGCCAGAATCCATCATTATTGATAATGGTGCAAATCTCAATAGTCACTTGATGAGAGAGATATGTGAGCAATTTAAGATTACGCATCGAAATTCAACTGCTTATCGTCCCCAAATGAACGGAGCTGTAGAGGCCGCCAATAAGAATATCAAAAAGATTTTGAGGAAAATGATTGACAAGCATCGAGGTTGGCATGAGATGTTACCATATGCTTTATTGGGATACCGTACTACTGTTAGGACATCGACTGGAGCTACTCCATACTTACTAGTATAAGGAATAGAGGTAGTCATACCTGCTGAAGTTGAGATACCGTCGTTGAAAATCATCCAAGAAGATGAGTTGAGTAACGATGAATGGGTTAGGAAAAGAATCGATCAGTTAACTTTTATTGAGGAGTAGAGAATGGTTGTTGTCTATCACAGTCAGTTGTATCAACAGAGAATGGTTCGTGCCTTTCATAATAAATTAAGAGCCAAAATTTTTGAAGTTGGCTAGTTGGTTCTTAAGCGTATTTTTCCTCATCAAGACGAGTACAAAGGAAAGTTCACACCGAACTGGCAAGGCCCCTACATGGTTCACAAAGTATTATCTGGAAGTGCCTTGGTCATGTCGGAGATGGATGGCACTGTATGGCCTAAACCTATCAACTCAGATGTTGTCGAGAGATACTACGTGTGAAGCTCCGGTTTGCATTTATGTTATATACTTGTAATCGTTCTGTTTGCTTGTAATTGTCCTACTTAAAATTTTACCCTCTTGTGATGAACTACGTCTGACCTGAATTCTCAAGAATGAGATAGTAGGCGGCCTATGTCGGCCTCGGTCGGTTTCTTTGTAAATTTCTCTTTTGTTAACCTTTGAGGGAACTAACTTTGACCTGGTTCCTGCCTCAACGTGATACGTAGGCGCCACAAGGGTTTGGTCATATCTCCCGTAAGATTTTTATTCCTCTTTACAATAGAATTCGGGACAGAATTTTTGAGAGGGACTCAAAAATTCTCAAGGAGAATATTCTTCCTCAGCAAGTCAAGAATAAAGATGTTTCGAGATTTGCAAATGGGATAGAATTTTTGAGGAGATCTAAAACTTTTTGTAATCTAATTAGTTACAGTGGAAAGATAAGCAAGACAATTAACTAGGATAGAAATTTTGAGGATGGCCTTAAAATTTCAGCATGGGTTTATCTACAAGTCTGGAGTGACTCTGAAAACTCCCCAGCAAATAAATAGATAAACCTCCAAGCATCAGACTCAATGAAGTTTGTTAAGCCTGATATGACATGACTTGGCAGTGACCTTTTTCAAATACTATTTCTCAAAAATTTATTTTTCTTAAATTTTTCTTTTACGTTTCATTTGTTTTGGCACAAAATTTTTTGTCTCATCTATCAAGAGTCGGGAGATCAGGAAATCAACCAGATACAGCAAGACAAGGAGCAAACAACTGAAGAAATCGGCACAGATCAGTTCGTTTTAAAGCTAACAATTTTTCTATGGACGCATGTTTATAGTTTTTCTCTGAAATCAGCAAATTCTTTCGATGGATGAATATGGAAAAGTCCAAAGAGGAGAAAACTATCCCAAAATCAATAGTTTTCCTAGAAGCAAGAGGCATTTTATATCACTTATGTCGAATACTTAGAAATATGAATTGTTTATTTTAATTAATTTACAACAACATGATATTTATAAAGAACGATTAGCTAGATTCAAAGGTGAATCAAGCGAAAATCTCAAGGGAGAGTTTATGGCTTCCGTAAAAGACACTATCTACATCACATTATCAAACAAGATGGTGTTGTTACCTGGAGGGGTCATTTATTTTATTATCAATCAAGACGAAGCATTACCCAGAGCGGACAGTTATTCTATTGTCATCATCAGAGACGATATGAATATTCATGCGTCGCGAGTCAATATGCATGCATTGCGGAAGACCATGCAATCATGAGTCAATACTCATGCATCGCCGAAGATCATGCATTGCGAGTCAATACTTATGTATTGTGGAAGACCATGCATCGCGAGTCAACTCTATGCATCGTGAGAAGATTTCATACCTCACAGAAATTACACATTGAGAGAAGATTTCATATTTCACAAAAATTATGCATCGCGAGAAAATTTCATACCTCGCAGAAATTATGCATCGTGAGAAGATTTCATACCTCACAAAAATTATGCATCGCAAGAAGATTTCATACCTCGTAGAAAATTATGCATCATGAGAAGATTTCATACCTCACAGAAATTTACGCATCACGAAAAGATATTCATGTCCTGTAAGGAATCATGCACTGTCGGAGAAGTAATCACGCTTCCAAAGAGAATTATTTATCCGTCGGCACAAACTGCATTCTAATTAAAGCAAACACCATGAAGAGTACATCGACATAAAGAGAAGCGTCAGCACTGCATCATCTTTCATGCATGTTGACATCAGCATGAAGAGTACATTGACATCGAAAGAAATATCAGCATCGCATAAGAATTTATTTATTTCGACATCAAGTGAAGAGCACATTGGAAATTACAGTACAAACACCAGACATAAGCTTTATTTGCTTTACATCAGACCAACCGAGTTGACGTCAGATGTCGAAGAGAACAATTGAGTGTCGACAGGGTAAAAGACCCTGTCTCCCACCCTAATTATATTTTCAAGATGACGATTTTTGTCTCAGTCTTTGTTGAGAGCATCCGAAAGGATGAATTCTCCAAACATACCGCAGGTGCGGACGACATCAAAAGGATGCAGCACAACGTGAAACTTTTTCTTAGCAGCAAACTGGGACACAGTCCAAAGAGGAATGTCAAACTCTTAGGGCGCGAGCAGATGAGCGACTACCACCATAATCAAACCACACCCCTATTAGAAGGCATGTGGGTTTTTCTTTGATTTTGTCAGTTTCGATCTCGCATCCAAAAATTTTCCTCAAAGTCCATACCAAATCCTTTTCTTAGAGACGAATATGAGGTCAATCAAAATTGACGTGGTCTGCTTCATTTTCCTCAAATTTCTTACATCAATCCAAGTAAAACGAGGGACAGTTGTTGACACTCAATTTTGACCTTCCCCAATAATAATTAATCAACGAGCTTCTTGACTTTTAAACGATTTAGAATAATTTATTTTATGAAATTCAAAATATTTTTTTGCAAGTTTATTTTAATAGTTTTTTATATTATTTCTAGATGATATATATATCTTACGCATATGTATATAATTGATATATTTTATGATTATTCAAAATTACTCTCAAAAAATATCTTAGTTTCTTGAGATATCTAGACAATTAGTGTGGTTTAAGTAATAACTTTATTTGTATCAATTAATTGATTGTAGGACTGATTATTTATTTCATTAAATTAAAGAAGTCTCGTAAATTAATTGTAATAAATCAATAGTACTTAAAAGAGAAAATCTAAACGATGATAATTGTAAGTGTTATGTGTCATGAATTTTACTTCCTTGCTCGGAAATAACTTTTAAAATGTCTCAATATTTTCACGACTTAAAAACAAGATTATTTAAAAAAGTCGCCTTGAAAGAAATTAAGAAAACTTACAATAATTCAAAGAGAAAAAACTTTAAAAATATCATGAATATATCTGATATGGACATGATCTGAATCTTTCCCAAACTACACGAGTTAATATAATTAATATCCTTGATTGAATAAAATACTCTTGGATTTTCCTAAAAATAACAAAGGCCAAAACTATATAAACCATCCATAGAGAGAAGTTCCACGCACTTCACTTGAACAGTCGTACTGTCTTTCTTTCATCCTTCAAAAAATATTTGTACTCTCTGTGTATGACATTGTAAGGTAAAAAGAAATAAGAGATTGCCTAAGTTATTGCATCAAGAGATCAAAAGTTTGTAAGGTATTAGGATTCAAAGTTATTGTTACCATAAATCCTTCAAATCCTCTTCAGGAAACCCTTGAAATCGTCCAAGAAGATTGGACTACACACTACATCGTTGATTTGAATCAGCAAAAAATTCTATGTGTCATTTATGTGACACGTGGCATCATCTTGTCGGTTTTGAATTTCTAGTTATCGTGATAGATGGCATGAGTTTGATATCAAGGTGTAATGGACATTATTGAACTTGAATATATTGAAAATAGAATAATTAATTTATAAATTTCAACCTTAAGATTGTAAGTTCGAGCTACCAGAAGATCCAAAAAGGTAGGAGCTCCCGTGGGAGGGATAGAAAAAGACAAATCAATTAATCAACTCAAATGAACATGAATTAAATTCAAAATGAATTTGTATGAATTTAACCCAATATAAAATTATACGTCTGCAAGTACTAATTAAAAGAAGTAAATTTTTTTAGTATATTAGTAATCTCATATTAATACTCTCTCTGTTTCACAAAGAATGATCTAGTTTGACTTGACACGAAGTATAAGAAAATAATGAAAATTTTTGATCATGTGGTCCTAAATTAAAGTTATATAAAATTTACAAAATTGATCATATGGTTCTAATTAAAGTTATGTCAAACGTATAAAATTGTCCTTAAATCTTGTGGCTTTAAACATATCACGTGAAAAATTATTACCGAAAAGGAAATGAGATCATTCTTTTTTAAACAGACTAAAAAGAAAAAAATTGTCGTCTTCTTGAAACGAAGGGAGTACTTCTTTTACCAAATTACTATGGGATGAGTTTTCATTTGATTAAGTTACTCAAAAGTCATAGTCAAAATCTTGACATTTTCCTTTATGGTGATATATAGATGAAAAGGGTTAAACTCTTGCAACAAAACTACCTATATATACAATACAAACACATTCTTGAAACATCAAAATAAGAAACAACATAAAAATGGATTGTCTAAAAAGTACTTTAGTTGTTGTCACCCTCTTCTTGTTTTTGTCTTTCCAAATAAAAGCAGACATCGACATTGATGCAATCATATCCTTACTTAAATTAGGAGAAGCCAATGCAACAAACACTTTTGAGTATCTTTCTGAAGGGAATCGAAGAAATGCTTGTGCAGAGTCTAGAGCTATATGTACAAAATGGTATATTCAAGTTC